ATATGATTATCATAATAATACTTAAATAAGCAAAACACGATAACCATAACACTTTCTAAAATAGGAAAAAATATAGCTCACCAAAAAGTTGAACGGAACCATCCCTCACATATTTCATATGATCGTACTGGTATTTATTTCATGGTTGAAAGCACTTTAAAAGTTCATATCTGCAAGTTCGTGGAATTGGGATTAAATGAGTATATAAAAATAATTTAAGGAGCAATTTTTGTATCATTATTGTTAATTATACCTTAAATTATACATAAACGTAATAAAAATGCAATAAAACTTACATTAAATAGAAATCGTATATTTTTTAGTCACTGTAAGTGTTCCTATCCATTATTTATTTATCCATTTATCCATTAGATATGCGTAATCCGTTATCCGAAATATCCGATCCAAATTCATCGGATATCCATTTACTGAATAATTATCCGAATATCTGTCGGATTATCAGGATATTCTGATCTATTTATCCGATATGGATTATCCAGATAATTCAGATACGGATAAAGGATGACGGATTTATCCAGATTGGAACTCTAAGTCACTGAAATTGAGGATGCATTTTACGAACCCAATTCCGAAAATTCGCCGATATGTTTACTGCGTTACAGTATTTCGACACTATAGCATTACAGCATTACGGCATTACGCCATTACGCCATTACGAAAATAATACGGCACATGCCGTTGCCGTATTAATTTGCCAAATTAATTCTACCACCAACTATATTTTGATCATACTAATCACGCAGTGTTAGCCGAATTAGATAATTTTAAATTTTATTGCCAAATTATGAACCATTCACTGTTGAAATTGCTAAACAAAAAAATTTAGTGCCGCTATCTACTAAAGTGCGTACGGCTTGCTTGAATGTGCCAGGTTTGTGGCGCAGTAAAAATTCTTCAAAGTTCGTTTATGTTAGGGTTAGGATTCGGGTTAGGTTTAGGAAGGGATGTTTATATAGTAAAATTGTCTAGCGAAAGCTTTTTGAATCTTCTTGATCGTGTTACGTCACACCTGATCTTGAAATCTGATTCGTAGTTCAGGGGTTGAGCAACCAAAATTTAGGATCGGAATAGGCCGGAATTGATAAATTTCTCCCAAAAATCACCTAAAGTTTTACTGATGAAATGGTAGCCCACATACTAAATAAAGCTTCCCAGATGATAACTTTGCTATAATATAGTTGGCATGTATTATCGCTTAATGCCAGCCTAGATTTTGGCGATCTGCTGAATTTTGGTTGTTCCACTAATCTATCCTAATTCAGGACATCTGCGCCACAAACCTGGCACACATTCTAAGGTTCATGATTACATATATATATAAATCTACTTAAAAGTTAGTCTCCCATTATTTTTTATTAGTAGTTCAAGGTCAGTTTAAACATCAGTTTTCGAGTTTTGTGTTTTTTCACTTGTAACTCCTTCACATAAGTTTTGACTATTTTTTAAAACTTTTAACGAAGTTTTCTCGACAACCACCTGATAAATTTCGGTAAAAAAAAATTTTTTTATTCGAATTTGTAGAATTCAGATAAAAAAAGGTTTCCTGTAAATTTATCAGACTATTATTAAGAAAACCTTAGTTCAAAGTTTAAAAAATTTAGGAGAATCTTTTTCAAGCCTTTAAGCGAAGCTTCCTCGACAACTACCTGATACATTTCGATGAAAATTTTTTATTAAGTGAAATTCAAATAAAAAATTTTCATCGAAATTGATCAGGTGGTTGCCAGAAAACTTAATTAGAAGGTTTAAAAAAATTTAGGCGGGACTTCTTTATAGACAATTTTTTTTAAATCTTTGAGCGAAGTTTTCTCACCAACCATCTGATCAATTTCGAAGAATTCTTTTTAATCTGTTTCTATATGTCTGTAGAATTCGAATAAAAAATTTTTATTAAAATTAATCAGATAGTTGTCAAGAAAACTTCATTCAAACCTTCAAAGAATTTAGGCGTACCATCTCAATACACTGATAAATTTCTCCAAATTTTTGAGTGAAATTTTCTGACAACCACCTGATAAATTTCAATGAAATTTTTTATTTGAATCAAACAATTTTTCCTTGAAAGTGATTAAGTGATTGCCGTGGAAGTTTCGTTTAAAGTTTTATAAAATAAACATGAATTTATGAAGGATCTCTTCACGTGACTCGGAGGAACCAATCGTTAATAATTCTTGTCAACAAAACAAATTTAAATGTGGCCAAATGATCTGCAAGTTTGACCAGAATTATGAACTAATCAGGTGATATAAATCCTCCGTGTTTTGTTTTTCTTTCGGCCTGAATTATAAAAAATTACACTGTGCAGTCTCTCAAAATGCCTGCGCAGTGGCCCATCCCTAACCACGACTCAATCGAAGCCTACCAGTTAGGATGTAAAGTTAACATTTTAGAAGATTTCGTTAGACTTCCGTCATATATTAACCTTGTAGATCTCAGTTGAACTGGCTTTTGTTGTTACCATTTTTCACTGGCGCAATGTACTCAGATGATCACCCTATCGTCTATTTTACTGTATTATATCGCACGTTAACGTGTAGCACGTATACGTACAATAAGGGTAAAGGTTTATCGATTTCGAAAGTAGACTGAAAATTGGTAGCATGCCAACGTGCTAGACAGCACGTTAATGTGCTAGGTATCGCATTAATGTGCTAGGTATCACGTTAACGTGTAGTATAATACAGTAAATCTAAATGTCAATAAAGAAGAGCTTTCCTCGATTTGTTGATAATAAAAAAATTAAAAAAATAAGCAGTGCAGTGCTGAAGAGCCTTTATTATAAAAATAAATCGAAAATCTTTCATAGTTATAAAAGTCCTCTCATCCAACTCCTGGACTACGTGACCTATTATTCATTAATACCAAAATTTTTTTTATCTTTATAACAATCTATTCGTACCGTTCTATCCTCTTACGGTCTCGAATCGCAACCGTCTCACATCACTGGTTGTTGTGTTGTTCGATCTTAAGTCCTGCTGCGCCGCTCTTGAGAATATTATTGACCATCATCTTCACGTACTTAACAATTAAGAGTCCAATCGGCTATATTAAAGTATTCTCCCGAATGAATGGTTACAATAGTAAAAGTATGCTTGAATTAGATTTCTTATATTTTGTTTTTGTTAAAATCAATTTAATATGTAGTTATTATTGGTCCTAAGTCTCAATTTGTATTAATGTTAAGGGATTTAAAAATAATGAGCAACGCAACAATAAGTATGCATTGATTACAAAGGGTGTCACCACGTGGCAGAGAAAATATGCAGTGTTACACGACAAACATTCGTGACATGTTAAACAATTCGATTGATATTTGCAAAAAAGGATAAAATATAATAACAATTGATATTAAATAGGTGTCTATACTATATTTTTATCCGTAAAAAGAAAACAAAAAAATTATAAAATTTGTTTATACATACGCCTTGGTATATTTGTATGCTTAATAACTTGTAGCATAGGTTACATCTCTCAATTATCAATAAATTACAACATATTAACGGTGTCACCTGTGCTATAAGAGCTAATTAAAATTAAAACACCCTTTTGGTGTTCATGATTTATTATAAATCTGGGTTCATGCTAACTTTTTAAACATTATAAAAGTTCATACTGATAAAACTTCAATTTGAAAGAGTAGTGTTTATATTTTAATACGAAATGAATATCACTAAGAGCATAATTATCTTTTTCGTTGTGTGTATGTTTATCGCTTCCAGTGTTCTTGCCCAACAAGAGTAAGTTTTCAAAGTTAACACCATTGAGAATCTAATAGTTTCTACCGTTTTTCTAAAATATCTTTATATTTTTCCTATAATCCTGAAAGAACTGCTTCTAATGCGGTAGAACCTTCAACTACACCTGGAGGAGAACAATCTCCAGCTACACCCGCTGCTCCAAGTGACACTCCTTCAGGTAGCTCCACACCGACAGGAACTGTTGCTTCTACACCGACAGCTGCCGCTGTTTCTGCGGCGACAGGTTCTGCTACTGGTTCAGCTGCCGCTTCTCCCGCTTCTCCCGCTTCAGCTACTGAAAGTGGCAAAAGTGCTACCACGGCTTCCACGTAAGTATTTCTTAGTTAATTATTTTAGCTAATTATCTTTATTAATTAATTCTTACATAATAATTACCTTTTAAAAAAAGTACAAAACCAGCTACAACAGGCTCCACGAGTGCGAGTGCTGCTTCAAATGTTCAAGTTGGCAGTATTGAATTAATCAGTGGTTATTTGATCGCTTTATTCATTGGTGGTTTATTATTTTAATTTTGGTCCGCAGCACAAAGGATGTAAAATTTTTTTGTAACTTTCTTTGGAAACACTAATTTTCGTACTTTCTTAGATCTTAATATAATTAATACATTTTGCTTAATATTTACATTAATATATATGATTAGTTAATTATTTTATATTACCAGTATTAGTTGTTACAAAGTGGTTAAGAATTTCTTTAGCTTGATAATTTATTCCATTTTTGTATTCTAATACTTTGATTTTCTCACTAATTGTATTATTAATGACAAACAATAATATCAGTTCTGGTATCGTTTTTCCGCTCCACCTTTCTTGTGCGTAACAATACAATGATGTTATTATATATGAGATATTAATTTAATTCGTGATCCGTGTAACAATGTATATGTAAATTTGGTACTGCCAATACAATAACAACCATTTTTTTTTATTATAATACCCATTTTTCTGCTTCTAATAAAAGTTGTAGGGGCAGTTCTTGCGATCATAACGGTGGTAAACTCGCTAAATTTGGAGTGGCAGATCCAGATATACTGTCAAAAAAACTTTTTCGCAACTATATTACTACAGTCAGACTCTCTAAATGCAACCTCCCTAAATACATGTCTTCTCTTGGGCCCAATTAATATAATGCTTATAGATTTTTATCTTCCTAAATACAGTATCGCTCTAAATGCACGTTTACTCAAGTCTTACATATGTACTGCCGCAATGCATTTAGAGAGGTCTGACTGTATGTAAATAAAGTATAGCCTCATCATAATAAAGTCTTATTAATGTACCGATTTGCACAAGGGTGCACAAAAATGAATTTCGAGTCACGAGTACTAATTCGGGAAGGTTACGATATAAAAATTTAGAAACTACATCTTCAGCTCTACAACATACCAAAGTAATTTGGTAATTGGATAGTTCGGAAGTTAGATGAGAGGTATATTTAGTTAGGCGTTTTTAATTTAACCATGTATTTAACTTGGTAAATATAAGGCATTTCAAAAGGTTTACAACGCTAATCTATTTTATTTATTTTTCCAAAAAACAGACACGTACTGAAAGTAAATAGATTAGTGACCTAAGGCAATGAAAGCATATTTGCGAACTTTATGAGAGGATAAAATATAGTGTTATGCTAAGATTATTAAAACATAATATTACGTCTAAGATTATTAAAGATGGTGCTACGTCTAAGATTATTAAACCATAGTGTTACGTCTAAGATTATTTATTAGTGTCAATTTAATTTTATACGGTATTAATAAATATTTAATTTTTAGGGGAATTTACATATAAGGGCCCAAAAAATGAAAATAATTACAAATTGGGGCCCGAATTAAAAATAATTACATATAAGGGCCCAATTTTTACGAATAGGGATCTAAAATTGTGCACGCATAAGAAATGAATAAACGTAATTTAATAATTATCATATAGCTAAATATAAAACGACAAGTATACTTATCTTTTATTTTTTTCAATTTAATCGCTTATCATTTTTATTTTTTCGCTCTTACATTCCAAATAATCACCATGTCGAATATGACACTATATATTGGCAAGACATTTACTGATATGGCAAGCGTTCGCTTGGCTCTGGATAACGATTCGGTTGAGCTTTCATTACCTTATAAGTTCAAAACTAACAAATCGAACAAGTTACTTGCTATTTGTCCTACAAATCAAACCAGCGCATGCCCTTTTACTATTTCAGCCAACAAGCGCAAAGATGGTTACATTCATATAGTGAAATTAATCAACCACGATCAAAATTGTCCAACATTCACAGAAAC